TACTTTAAACCAGTGATTCTTAACCTGTATAACCTCAGGACCCACATTTGTCCTTAGTCATTAAGTCGCAACCCAAGTCGCAGCACACTGGAACGCATGGGATCGCAGTACCGCCTGTTCCGGTGCAAGCTATCAAACTGTGGGCGGGAGGTGTGTTTGGGGTGTCATTCAAATGAATTGCAATGCAACGCACCTCTTGCAGTTCCCGCACCAGAACGAACAGTAGGTACGTTTGCGTGGTAGTTTGCGATTAAAACATAAAACAGACGCACACAACCACAGAGACAATCTCACACACTCAGAGACATTCTCAGACACACATACACACTCCCCCCAAAATTTTAGGGGTTCAGTGCGGCTTCTGTGCTGTGACGAAGCTCCATCCGTACATGCATTGCTTGTACAACTCCCTTGTACTACCTGTAGAGGTGCAATGGGGAGGCTGAGGAGTTTCTCACCTAGTGCAATGGAAGGCATGTGGCGACCTACTGAACATGGGTTCACAACCCACTTTTGGGTCACAACCCACCAGTTGAGAACCAGGGCTTTAAACTATGGCTTGGCCAGTTCTTTGCTTGGCTCCTAGAGGCTCCTTTAATGTAACCACCAAGTACAATAAAGAAAAATTATGATTTTTGTTAGTTTTAGGTTTACTAATTTTTATATCTTTTTCACCTATTAAATATGTATTTACAAATAAGCATTTATTACTGGATGCATCCAGATTTAAAAAAAAAGTATGCTGGGCTTTCTAGTAAGCCCACCACTGTCTGTATATTTAGAGTCAGTCAGGAAATCTATGTGAGCTAACTCTCCTAGGAGAGGGGAAGAGGGAATAGTTATCCCTGTAAATCATTCTTCAGTATGTAGAATCTGGTCTCTCTGCTGATCGGTACAGTTAGACAGCAATAGCTAAGTATTACTAAGCAGTTTAGGATAAGGTGGGCTAAAAGGAACCAAAAATCCATCCTTCAGACTAGTGCTAAGTGTAGGAGACTCTTCTTTGAAGAGTCTCCTGTCTCACTTGTATCACAAATCCCAAAATGTTAGTTTTGCATAGTGGGTAAAGCCAACCAAACCATTCCTTTTTGCTCCTGTGCAAATTGTACATCAAGAACAATAGCACAGATACAGCCTAATATGATAGAGCCGTTTTTAACCTCCATGCCACCATCAGTTGGACTGTTGGACATTGGCTTCTATGGAGTAGGACATGGGAAGCATGGAGAGTTTTTTTGTCAGTGTTGCCCTTTCAGACAGAACAATATATAGGAGCAATCCTGTTCAGTATGTGCACAAAGCCTTTACTTACCACTCCCTGGTGAAAAGCACACATAGGACATTTTGCAAGCGCTAAGCCCAATGCATCATGCAACTATGTAGTATCAGAGGCACTGATTTCAAAGTTGGTATAAGGTGTTACACTGCAACCACACCCTAGCCACTGGGTAATCTGGGTAATCAGGGTAATCAGAAACAGGGCCCTTAGGGGAAAAAAAGTAATTTCACTTATGCAGCCAAATTAGGATAACACTTTTTATATTTGTTAAATCTTCCCATTTACATTTCATAACTTGCATAAAATGACAGTAAACTCAGGAGTTAAATCTTAAAAATACATTTAAGTATCTTAACTAATAACAGAAATGTATCTTATTTGTGTATCACTCGGCTGTAGATCCTCAAATCATCTCTGAATTGGTGCTGACACTGTCCTTTCTTCTGGATGGTAGTTTCTTTTGTTCCCCATGGTCCCTATGTGTGTTGTAAAGTAGCCACCGGTCCAACCTCACCCCCGTGATGGACAACAATCTCATGTTTAGTTAGCTAATTTGTAATGAAATTATAGTCAATCATGGGGACAAGCTTGGGGCAGTGACTACTTTACAACACACATGGGGCACAAAAGCAGTCACCCTCCAGAAGGAAGGACAGTGTCAGCACCAATTCAGAGATGATTTGAGGAAATGTATCTCATTTGTGATACACCAATGAGATTCATTTTTGCTAATAGTGAAGGTACTTGAATGCTTTTTTTAGATTTAACTCCTGGGTTTAGTGTCACTTTAGGCATGCAAGTATTCTTTAAGATCTTGTTGGATACTTTAAGACCAAGCAAGACGTGGTACATCTAAACAGGCAATATTTCTTGATTAAATGTCTGGAAAATGTTAGATTCTTGAGATCCAAAATATTTCTGTATCTCTGGGGTACATGCATGTAGCAGTCATCTTCTTTGGGAGAATATCCACCCCTATGCACATCAAGGGAATGGAAAGAGCTCACCTTACATGCAATAGATAGCAAAGTCTCATGCCCTGTTGTGGTTTTGGCTACATGGCCTTTCCTGAACTTACAATGACTAAGGGATCACAGTACAATAGTTCTTGAATAGAAGGGCACTTCCAGGTACACATGGCATCCAGGGAACATTAGCATATTACCCAACAGGGGACAACAGAAAAAAAACAACAGAAAATAAGCTAATGTATTCAATTTTCACTTAATAACTTTAGCATGGAGTATTCCTCTAAAATCATGGCATGCTGCAGGCATTCAAAAGCTTTCTGGAAACGCTGCAAAGAACAGCTTCAAATGTCAGTAGCACTAAGTGATCCTGTAGAATAAAAGCTGTTATTATTACAAGTACTGTACATATTGTTGGAGTGTAGCTATCTTGCAAGTGGTGAAATTTTTGCCATTTAACAGTCCTTTCATGAGTATTTTTTGGGGGGGACATTATCGGTTAATTACAAGGTCACCGTTTTGAGAGGCCGCACTGTTATCAAATTATATTTATTGTCACAAGCAAGCATAAGTGTTTTTAAATGTCACAAATGTAGTTGTGATATAATAATCTGTTTTGTTTACCAGAGGCAAGTCGCAAATGTTTTTCAAACATTTAACTTGAAATGGTCTTTTTCTAGAGGGTATTAAAAGAGCGGACTGCACATAAAAGAACATTGTTAGGCTGGTAGAGACCATTACAGCTGTTTGAAAACAGGCTTTTGAGTTTTGGACTTGTGTACCAGCCTGTATATAACCCTTATTACCAGGCCTTTCAGAGCTGTCATAGTTTGACTGACAATTACTTGCTCATGCAACACTGTACCCAATGTTATATATATATATATATATTTAAACAGATA